AGCCTAGATGCACTCCTCTTCCCTACCCCCCTGTTCCCTTCTATTTTGGACCACCAGTTCCTCCCACTGCTCCTTCAAGTCCAATCATGCTAGCAGCCTTCCCCTCACCAGCTATCCTCCAGGCACGGCTGTTTTCTCATAGTGTTTCCTAAGCCCTTATTGTACCACATCGTGGTGATTTACTCATGTCTCTCTCCCCTCAGCAGACAGACTTTGTGGAAAGGGCCTGCCTTATTCATTTCTGTCTCCAGGACCTAGAAATGTAAATCCTGCATACTGAATTTTTAAAGTGAACAATAGCAGACATATGTTTTTTTCCAGGTATAGGCTCTCTGAAGTTCACTTTTCCTCATTTCTTTCTTAGAACTTTCCAACATACTGTTTAGTCACCACAACGTAAACAAGTTTCTGAGATTCCCATCAGTTCTAAATGAATAATGAAAATCTATCCACAAGACTTTTATGAACAACCCACATGGTTAGTGGGGAAACTTGTCCATTATCCTACGCGCCATTTTTAAATGCCTACAACTTTAGTTGGAACCTTCATTATAATACTAGCAACAACGAAATATTGATTAGTAAAACTGGATAATTTGTTTGTGCTGCCTTTCACTTTCTTGGAATTAAAAGCTGATTGGGCAAGAGAAGACATATAGGAGTAATTTTCTACTTGTCTTCAAATCTAACAAGACCACAAAAGCTGTCCCTTTATATTTCAAGATGTGAACCAAAAGAAATTTAAAGTTTTATTGGGGAATGGGGATAAATTGGGAGAATGGGGTTGACATATATACACTACTATATATAAAATAGATAACTAATATAAACCTATAGTATGGCATAGGGAACTCTACTCAATACTTTGTAATGACCTAAATATGGGAACAGAACCTAAAGAAGAACAGATATATGGATATGTATAATTGATTCACTTTGGGGTACAGCAGAAACCAACATAACACTGTAAATCAATTATACTCTAATAAAAATTAATTTAAAATAAAGCTTGATTATAAAAGAACTTGTAGTCCATAAGAAATGGATAACCTACGTAAGCATTATGTTTTAACTCTCAGAAAACTGATAACTCATATTACGCTCTATAAATTAATCAAAAATTTTAAGAATTACAATTAAACTTAGAAGAAACTGAAGGAAAAATAGGAAAGGGGAATTAAATTGGATTACACCACTGGTTTTGTTTGCAATTTACTTCTGAATGTGATTCTCTATCATATTTCCTCCCCCAGGAGATAGTTATCTTAATTTTTGAGTATGTTCAAAAGTTATAAATCCTCAAGGTTTATAAAAAAAAGTAGTAAAGTGGCAATTAAAAAACAGGAAATAAGCAGGAAATAAATAAGTATGTTTTTAAAAAATTCGTGTTTATATAAATCTCCACATTCTGGATACCATCTTCATCTACTCATCCACTTCATTACATGATTTCTTTCATCTTTGGTGGAAGAAGAGACTAATATTAGATCTATTATTTATATGAATGTTAATCTTAAAAAGTACACATCTTTACACTTATATTTGGCTTGCTGTATGAAATACTGTCACCCTGTTTATTTCAGTTACATGCAGAGTACATCACGCAAAATGCTGGGCTGCAGGAAGTACAAGTTGGAATCAAGATTGCTGGGAGAAACATCAATCACGTCAGATACGCAGATGACACCACCCTTATGGCAGAAAGTGAAGAAGAACTAAAGATCCTCTTGATGAAAGTGAAAGAGGAGAGTGAAAAAAGCTGGCTTCAAACTCAATATTCAAAAAAGAAAGATGATGGCATCTGGTCCCATCACTTCATGGCAAACAGATGGGGAAACAAGGGCAACAGTGACAGACTTTATTTTCTTGGGCTCCAAAATCACTGCAGGTGGTGACTGCAGCCATAAAATTAAAAGACGCTTGCTCCTTGGAAGAAACACTATGACTAACCTAGACAGCATTTTGAAAAACAGAGACATTACTTTACCAACAAAGGTCCATCTAATCAAAGCTATGGTTTTTCCACAGCTTTGTCATGTATGGATGTGAGAGCTAGACTGTAAAGAAAGGTGAGCACAGAAGAATTGATGCTTTTGAACTGTGGTGTTGTAGAAGACTCTTGAGAGTCCCTTGGACAGCAAGGAGATCCACCCAGGCCATCCTAAAGGAAATCAGTCCTGAATACTCATTGGAAGGACTGATGCTGAAGCTGAAACTCCAATACTTTGGCCATCTGATGCGAAGAACTGACTCACTGGAAAAGACCCTGATGCTGGGAAAGGTTGAAGGCAGGAGAAGGAGACGACAGAGGATGAGATGGTTGGATGGCATCACTGACTTGATGGACATGAGTTTGAGCAAGCTCCGGGAGTTGGTGATGGACAGGGAAGCCTGGCGTGCTGCAGCCCATGGGGTTGTAGAGTCAGATATGACTGAAACAACTTATTAGCATCAGGAACGAACACAACCGTGTAAAGCAACTATGTGCTTAGTTGCTCAGTCATGTCTGACTCTTTATGACCCCATGGGCTGTAGCCTGACAGTCTCCTCTGTCCATGGGGATTCTCCAGGCAAGAATACTGGAGTGGCTTGCCATGCCCTTCTCCAGGAAAGCAACAATACTTCAATTAAAAAAAAAAACATTTCCTGGTTCCAATTGTTTGGTCCACAATATACTACAAACCAAAAAAATTTTTAATTTATTTTTAAAATTGTAGTAAAATATGAGAGCCCCTTGGACTGCAGGGAGATCCAACCAGTCCATCCTAAAGGCGATCAGTCCTGGGTGTTCAATGGAAGGACTGATGCTGAAGCTGAAACTCCAATACTTTGGCCACCTCGTGTGAAGAGCTGACTCACTGGAAAAGACCCTGATGTTGGGAGGGATTGGGGGCAGGAGGAGAAGGGGACGACAGAGGATGAGAAGGCTGGATGGCATCACCGACTCGATGGACATGAAACTCCGGGAGTTGGTAATGGACAGGGAGGCCTGGCGTGCTGCGATTCATGGGGTCGCAAAGAGTCAGACACGACTGAGCGACTGAACTGAACTGAACACTTAACATAAAATGTATCCTCCTAACACTGCTAACATTTATCTTTGCATTTTGGAACAAGGAAAGGCAATGTAACAAGCATTAGAGCAACAAAGGAGAGCACATTGTGACCATGTAGAAATTAAATCCTAATAGTCCTTTTTAGATGGGGGACTCATGTAGTGTTTGAATCAATAGCTCTGAAGAGAAAATTTAATTTTTCTTCCTTCATATAGCATGTGCCAACTATTGCTTAAATGCCCATTAGGAGAAAGACCAGATGTACATGTTTCACTAATGTAATAGGAAGCCCAATTAAGTCTCTCCCAAACCATGCAAGACACATCTATGAAAATGTATACATAATAATACACGACAGGGGGAAAAAAAGTAGTACCCAGCAACCACAGACATCATCATCAATTAAAATATTTCCCTTAATAAAAACAGTTCTTGCTGTTTTACTGATACTTGCTGGTGGCATCATCCCAACTGTAAAATGACAGATAGGAGTCTTGAGTTCTTTGGTTCTAAAATTCTCTTCTGTTCCAAGTAATTTAAGCACAGAGACACTAAAATCTACTACTATACTGAGATGTAAAGAGATTCACTTTGTATGGTCCTGTTTATTTAATGTTTCAGATATTGTTGCCAAGGATGACTCACTTTCTCCCACCCACTTCCTAATTTAAACTTTCTTTGCTTCAGAGTCAGCATTTAAAATTAAACCTCTGGCACTTTGCCCATATGTGATATTTTTCAGGGTCACTGTGAATTGAACTATAAGACAGATTTCACTTTAAAGTTCTGAACACATCAATCAATCATTTTTACTCTAATATTTTAGTATCAGTCTTTTTGAATTTTTGCCTATGGTAGTGCCACTTAAGACAGTATCATAAAAAAAAAATTCTAAACAGATTTAGGACTTGGATTTGTTATTTACAAATTTTCCTATAATTGTCCAATTTTCAATTCTCAACTCTCCTAACTGGATTATTATTTATAATCAAAAAAAGAGACTAAACAATGGAAACCTTTTTTCCTTGTCTTCAGAATTATAAACTCACCACTCCAGGGAACTCTATAATAATGCTTATATTGCATCTCTGATCCAAGAAATTCCAAATGGAATTGGAATTTCAAATTCTAAATTTTCAATGTGTAAAAGTCATATTTATTGATCTTCCCAAAGCACTAAATTGGCACAAATAAAGAATACAAATGCAGTGGTCTTGTTACTGAAGTGGTATAAAAGTTTCTGCTGTAGTACAGGTAGGTTATGAATATTATTTCATCAGCAAATCAGCCCTTTATTAGCTTAGAAATGCCATTCAGGTGGCTTATCAAACTTCTACTCTGTTCAGAAAGGAAATGAACTTCTAGTTTGCCACAGTCTCACCTCTCCTTAGCCCATCACTCATGGCTGCTGCATTCACTGACATTTACTGCAATTAGGCTTTTATGCTTGGGACTTCTTGAATCAGGACACAATATTGGCCTGAGTGTCAAAGCACAAGGTGTCTGGGCTTTTACTGTGAGTCTGGAACATCATTTAAGCTTTCCGGGACTATTTTTTCTTCTATAAATGAACTACTGTACTAAGATGATTTTCAGGATTAAATAATTTCCTGTTACTCAGACCATAAATATTAGGGATGCCCATATGTTGATGGGGAGCAATTTTTTAATGTAAATATAAACACTATGTTTGTGATTTTCCTATATCAAAGTCTTTACACTGTTCTGAATCTTGAAATCATAATAGAGAGATCAATAGAAATTATATAGAAGAAAAAGTGAAGTGTCTCCTCACAGAGTAGGGGAAACAAGCATCAGCAGCTAGAGCTTGAAAACTGCTGAACTGGTGGTGAGGGTGATCAGACTTCTTCAACACATAAGTGCTATAAAACAGAGTTCAAAGTGTAGTGGAATAGTTAGTGCGTCCTCCTACTTATGCTTTACCTTCATCTCATGGTGCTGGTCCAGCTGTTCCAGTTCTAGGGGGCTTTCTTCACTTTCCCTCTCTTGTACCTTGGCTTCTGTATCTGTCCTTTCTTCTTCCAGTGGGAGCATCGGGCTGGCATGTAAAGTCCTGCAGCTACTGTCAGAAGGATCTTCATGACAGTTATTTGTTGTGGGTGATGCCGGGCCTGTGGCTGTTTCTTGTTTTTCTCCATTCATTAAGTTTGTATCGGGCAAGGGTTCAGAAGTTTGAATAGGAGTATCTGGGCTAAGAGTGGCCGCTCTGTCCTCCTCACATTCCGTCTGGTTTTGTGCTGCTACCATACCATTTGCCACACAAGTCTGTTCACCCTGAGATTGATCTGTACCATTTCCCTGCTTCTGTGGTGAGTGCTGGGAAAGGAGTTTCTGCTGAGGTGTGGCTGTCAATCCATGCCTTCCTGGGGTTCTAGGAGGATTTAGGTTCACAGCAGAATCTTTTTTCAAATCGCTGTAATTTGATAAAGCGCTAAAAGATAAAACACAAAGGAAGTATGAAAATGCTGGCATGGACAAGTTCTAGAATAAAAACAAATTTATTCCATTTGTTTAGGGATATTTAGTGAAGATATCCGTCCCCCTTGGTTTTAGAAACTTAGATAAAAACTGGTAGAGTAGCTCTCAGTTGTTCAGGATGTTATCTACACTCAAACATTTATATAAAGACGATAAGTCTGAGCTTTACCTATAGGTTTGGAAACATTTCCTTGGGTTGTTTATTAACATAGTTAATTAGTAAAGACTTAGATGTGAGGAATATATTTAATAAGGCCACCTTATCCCAAGATTTTTACTTTCTTAACATTTTATAGACAAGTATAGTCAGCCCTCAATTTATGAATAGGTTAGAAACCAAAGATTATTTGTCTCTGGAAAGCAGACACATTTCTCAAAAACTTTACTGCATGTGTTGCCACAGCATCCTAACTGGTCTTTCTGCTTCCACAGAGATCCCCTCCAGCCCCAGGTAGGCCATAGAGCTCAAACTCTGAGTGAGGGCTTCCCTGAACACTTGAAGATAAATCTGGCATCTTAATCACGACCTACAAGATTCTCTATACTCTAGCCCCTACTAGCTCTGGCCTCATTAAATTCTGTTCTCGCCTCACTCACTGTGCTCTTGTCATATTAGTCACTTTGCTGTTCCCATACCCAATAAGCAAATGTGCATATCTAAGCTGGAATTCTCTCTGCCCAGGACAGTCTTCCCCAAGTCAGCAGTGTGGTTTACTTCTTCCCATCATTCATGTTTCAGATCAGATGTCACCTCAAAGAGGCTTAAGTTTAACTGCCAGAATACAGAAATGCTTCTGTGGAAATACTAATATAGTACTTTTTTTTTTAAAGGTTATTAAAGTACTCTTTAATACATATCTGACAACATATCTTTGTGAGGGTGGATTTTTCTTCCTATATGTCAATGAAAACAAATATTCCAATAGACTGAATACAGAAGCAGCTATGAGAATCTACCTGTCTTCCCTTAAGCCATGCACTGAAGAGATTTACAATAAACAATATGACAATGCCAATAATCATTTTTGTTTTGGAAAATATATTTCATTAAGATCGCTATTTTAAGTCAGGGGCAAATTGCTACAACACTGTTAACACTAACCTCCAAATACAAATTGGATACACAATAAGCAATCTCTAACACTTGCTCTATACCATGTCTTCCTTCAAAAGTTACACTTAGGATTTTTGATATGTTGCTTGATTCTGGACAAGATGCCTAGGTTTGTCTGAATTTGGTAGTTTCCTGTTGCTTTTTCAAATCGGTAAGAATATGTCATTGGTCATTATCAAGTGGAAAGAGACCTCTCTCCAATGTGGCTATGTTAGGCAGAATAATGGCCCACTTAACATGTCCATGTCCTAATCCCAGAACCTGTGAACTTGACATGGCAAAGGGGATTTGGAAAAGTAATTCAGGTTACAGATCTTGAAATGGGGAGACTATTCAGGGTTATTTGGGTGGCCCCAATCAAACCACGTGAGTTCCTAAGAGCTGAGGATTTTCCTTGCTATGGCTAGAGAGATGCAATGACAGAATAAAGGTTATAGAGAGATGGTTTAAGAAGGACTTGACTTGCCATGGTTGGCACTGAAGATGGAGGGAAGAGACCATGCTGTAAAAGGCAGGTTCTAGAAGCTAGAAAAGGCAAGGAAGTGGATTCTTCCCTAGAACCTGCAGAAACTAGAGTCCTGCTGACACCTTGATTTTAGTCCAGTGAGACACTTGTGTCAGACTTCTGACAAACAGAAGAAAAAGATAATAAATCTGTCTTGTTCTAAGCTTATTTAATGTATGGTAATGTGTTACAGGAGCAACAGAAAACTAATACAGTGGTAACGCCATTTCTCATCCACAATTGGTTGAGAGAGATTTAGCATAAAGTTAATAGAAAGTTTCAGTTTCAAGTACTTTTGCCTGCATAAGACATTAAACCTAATTTTATATTGGTAATTTGTTCTTTCTGCTGCTGCTGCTGCTGCTAAGTTGCTTCAGTCATGTCCGACTCTGTGCGATCCCATAGACGGCAGCCCACCAGGCTCCCCCGTCCCTGGGATTCTCCAGGTAAGAACACTGGAGTGGGTTGCCATTTCCTTCTCCAATGCATGAAAGTGAAAAGTGAAAGTGAAGTTGCTTAGTCATGTCCGACTCTTAGCAACCCCATGGACTGCAGCCTACCAGGCTCCTCTGTCCATGGGAGTTTCCAGGCAAGAGTACTGGAGTGGGCTCCCATTGCCTTCTCCTAATATAGTACTTTAATCTAGGATTCCAGGAAGGAAAAATATAAAACTCTGGACTTCAGTCTTGAAAAGATTCTTATGACCTAATGAGAAAAAATTAAAACAGACCAAAACTCTGTGATGGTACAAAATGTACCCATCTTGTTCTCTGCTTTATTCCCACCTCTTAGCACAGCACTTGGTATGTGACAGTGCTCAATAAAAAGTGGAGGAACAATAGAATAACTAATTGTGATGATGATCATAACAGCAATTCAATAATACCAACTAACATTTATTAAGTGCCAGAAACTACATTAAGCCCTTTACATACATTATCTTGTTCTATATCATAAATAATTCCAAAGAAGGGACCCCACAATACAGGCTTAAGAAACCTAGATAACATGGCCAATGTAATGTGGCTAATAAATGGTAAGAAAGCAGTCAGAGAAGACAAAAAACACAGTGAAGTTTATTATCACAAGAATGGAAGAAAAAATTTGGTAGGGGAAAATGTCTTATAAAAGTCAGAGGTTGTCCACAGACTTAGAAAACAAACCTATGGTTGCTGGGGGGAAGGGATAGTTAGGGACTTTGGGAAGGTCATATACACACTGCTATATTTAAAATGGATAACCAACAAAGACGTATAGTACAGCACATGAAACTCTGCTCAATGTTATGTACCAGCCTAGATGGGAGTAGGGTTTGGGGGAGAGTGGATACATGTATATATATGGCTGAGGTACTTTGCTGTTCATGTGAAACTATCACAACATTGCTCATCGGCTATACCACAACATGAAATATTTTTGGTGTTTAAAAAAAAAAGTTGGAGGTTGCTACTGTAAGTAAATGTGATACCCTCCACCATTGATGTCTGCCTTCTAGGAGTGTATTCCTTAGGCCTAATTGAAAATGCTGGTTTAAAACTAAACATTCAAAAACCTGAGATCACGTGATCCGGTCCCATCACTTCATGGCAAATAGATGTGGAAACAATGGAAACTGAGAGACTTTATTTTCTTGGGCTCCAAAATCACTGCAAATGGTGACTGCAGCCATGAAATCAAAAGATGCTTGCTCCTTGGAAGAAAAACTATGACAAACCTAGACAGCGTGTTAAAAAGCAGAGACATTACTTTATCAACAAAGGTCCGTATAGTCGAAGCTATGATTTTTCCAGTAGTCATGTACAGATATGAGAGTTGGACCATAAAAAAGGCTGAGTGCAAAAGGATTGATGCTTTTGAACTGTGGTGTTGGTGAAGACTCTTGAGAGTCCCTTGGACTACAAGGAGATCAAACCAGTCAACCCTAAAGGAAATCAGTCCTGAATATTTGTTGGAAGGACTGATGCTGAAGCTACAATACTTTGGTCACCTGATGCGAAGAGCCGACTCATTAGAATAGGCCCTGACACTGGGAAGGATTGAAGGCAGGAGGAGAAGGGGACGACAGAGGACGAGATGGTGGGATGGCATCACCAACTCAATGGACATGAGTTTGAACAAGCTCCGGGGGCTGGTGACAGACAGGGAAGCCTGGTGTGCTGCAGTCCATGGGGTCACAAAGCGTCAGACACAACTGATCAACAACAAATTTCTCCAAAAGCCCTTCAAGATATGAATCAACTGTCCTTTACCTGGACACATTAGTGTCCAGCAACACAGTGGAAAGATCCTCAGAAGATCGTCTGAACCAAACTCTGGACTTAACTTAGGAATTTTGGAAAGGACTGCTGTGAACAAGAAGCAAGAATCTCCTGTAATAAGTGACATCCAGAGGGTATGCATGGAAGAATCAGGTAGGATAAGGTGGCAAGGGAAGCCACACTACAGGTACGTGAACCTCACTCAACAAGAAATAAAAACTTCCTGTTCAAGTCCTATAGACACAACACAACAGAAATCCATTCAGATACTTTCCAGGGCCTGTTCCTATGGGTAATACTTCATTAAAAACATATAATTTTTTTTATATAAAAAATTACCAGATTGGCCCAAATGCTCACATTACAGCCTACCTGCTCTTAGAACAATTTTGCTTAAAATGTCATACATTATAGCACATCTTTCCTTAGAGCCAACCTTCAAGCTTTTCATCAAAAAAAGGCTTTGAATCTGTTAACTGTAAAAGAAAACTGACTTGGAAGAATATATTGAAAAAATAACCGATATGGAAAAACTGTACTTTTTGTGTATGGAGAGAAATAACACTGGGTTACCAAAATAGTGAGGAGTATTGACCCATCTGGGGCTTCCCAAAGTTATACCCAAATCTGAGGATACAGGCTCTGGCATGTAATATGAATTGGGGTCGGGGCCCATCCCCCCTCCTTTTATTATTAAATCACTGGACACGGACCTGGGAATCTGCAAACATGAGGCACATAACTTTGTGCTACAGAATCAACTTGTCACAGAAAACAATCTTTTCTAGTAAAGATTACTATAATTTATGATAGCAAAGGTATTAAAAATCCTACTTCAGAGTGAAATGTTGATATTTATTTTTTTTTTCATTTATTTTTATTAGTTGGAGGCTAATTACTTTACATCATTGCAGTGGGTTTTGTCATACATTGAAATGAATTAGCCATGGATTTACATGTATTCCCCATCCCGGTCCCCCCTCCCACCTCCCTCTCCACCCGATCCCTCTGGGTCTTCCCAGTGCACCAGGCCCGAGCACTTGTCTCATGTACCCAACCTGGGCTGGTGATCTGTTTCACCCTAGATAATATACGTGTTTCGATGCTGTTCTCTTGAAACATCCCACCCTCGCCTTCTCCCAGAGTCCACAAGTCTGTTCTAGAAATGTTGATATTTAAATATTATGACAAGTTTCCATAATTGATTGAGTGAAAAAATGAAGAAAGGCTTCTGAACTACTTTTCTCCAGAATTTGTTACTAAATATAGTCTTACAAATGAGGGGCATTACAGTTTTGCATTTGGTCACAATTTCTAGAAGATGTTGAAAGTATTTCCAAGCTATGATTCACTGCATAAATAAAAACATGTCCTGCAAATAAAAAATGAAATCACCTAATGGATAACCGTTCCCAAATATTACACTAGAATAAATGGAAATATTTGGCTTCATGAATGAAAGTGAATTTAAATATATTGTTTAATTATATATAGAATTTTGGTGACATACAATAAAATCCTTCTGATAAATTAAAAAAAAATTCTATTTAAGTCAGTGATGGAAATCCTAAGAAAAAAACAACTGAGGATCATATAAGTAGAAAAGTAACTTATGTGAGTTTGTTTTTATCTTTTCAATATATACATTTCAGCTACTTTTTTTAAACAGAGCTAAAGAATAAAAAATTATATCTAATAAATAGAAACAGATTTAACATAAATTTTGCTACTGCCAGTATGTCTTCAGAACCTAGAACAGTATAGGTCTATGGGGCAAGGGAAAACAGACTGAATGGATACAGATCTATACGAAATAAAATGGAAAGAAAAGATGGGACAGGCCCACAGAAGTTCATTCAAGCATATGAAACGAGAAACAGACAGATATTACTTCCTGCCCTTCCAACCCAGATATCCAGTGACCAATGGAATGACTGCCCACAAGAAGCAACAACGCATGGAGTGACGCACACAGACAGAGGAAGCAAGGTGTGCACAGTGCTGAGTGATGAGAAGGCTGGGGCAGAGGGCCCTGCACGCAAACAAACATGATAAGTGACAATTCACATAGGGAAGACTGTTGTTCAGTCATTAAGTTGCGTTCAACTCTTTGCAAACACATGGATTACAGCATGCCAGGCTCCTCTGTCCCCTTCATGGATCACAGCTTTGTTATGGCTAAGGGGCTTGTGTAACTCAATGAAGCTATGAGCCATGCCATACAGGGCGACCCAAGACAGACAGGTCATAGTGAAGAATTCTGACAATTTACATTGGAGAAGGAAATGGCAAACCCCTTCAGTATTCTTGTCTGGAAAACCCCATGGACAGTATGAAAAAACAAAAAGGGCAAGATTAGCATTTTAAAAATCCACTCTTTCTAAAGGCCTACCACACCTAATGGAATAAAAAACTGTATTTTTTATTTTTAAATCTACATCTCTATCATACATTTTTTTCAAAAATCAGCTTTAGTCTCCCCTCAGCTTTCTCCCATTGTAAGTTAGCTCTTACCTGCCTCCTTCAAAGCGACTGATGAGATCTGATACCTTACTGGGCTTTTCCTTTGAGACACAAGCAGAGGCAGGTTTAACTTCCTCCATCCTTGGTTTTGCACTAGATAAAGCTTTATGCCTAGGAGTTTGGTGAATATTGGTTGAAGGTAAATTCTGCAGGTGTAGTGGCTTTGGAGGCACTGTAGAAAAAGAATTCATAGAATTCAGTATTTCACTGATATTTGTTCCTAAGCAAAAAATCCTAGTGTTCTTGCTGAAAAAATCTTTACCATTACCAAATTTTTGTTAAGAGATCCGTCAAATTTGGGCTGAACCTTAACCAAGAGACCTTTATCTATCTTGGACACTTGTTCTGTGTCCTGTAGAAGTCCGATATCCAAGATTCAAGAGGTTCTTTTAATTTTAAGTGATTTTAAAATATGGCTTTAGTAAACATCTATGGATCTACATATGACTAAGGCATTCCAAACTCTACTAGAGATGACATAGAAATTTTTTTCTAAACAGAGAAAGGAAAGTACTAAATTTGAAACTAATTCCTAGAGATACATTGCTTGCTATAAAAGAGATTTTCTAATAATGAGTGATAAAAGATATACTAAAATCCAGAGGTAGTAGGTGAGACATAAAGCCAACAAAAAAGCCAACAAATGACATTAATATAATGTTGCATTACTTAAGCATCTTCTCAGTTAACAAACGCACTGTATCTCATTTGATCTTAGACGAATTTTTTTCTTTACAGACCTCTGAGATAGATCATTATTTGCCTCCTATGTCTATGAAGACTTAGAGAGCTTAAGCGATTACTGGCCTGGGGTAACAAGGCTGATCAGATTTTATAACTGGTACCCAGACTCTAGCTTTTTCCATTATTAGCACTGCTTCTCATCATAAATCTGCAAAAGGTGGTTACAGAACTTAGACTGTTACATTAACAGTTGTCTAGCATTAATATACCACATATAATCTGCTTACTAATAAGTCTTCCACTCAATTAACAGCATATGAACAGATCATTTCCAAAATACTAAAATCTACAGGTTTTCTCTAATAGGTCAGAAATTCTGTATCTGAGAAAACATAATATGCCATAAATGCTTAATCATTACAAGAATACTTCAATTTTGAAAACCAGTACAGTATCCTTTTTCTCTTCAATTAACATTATGGATAAAATAATATATAATTATACATGTTTCTAATATATAATTATACATGTTTCAATAAATCAAACAGAATCATCTCCATTTTTTTTTTATCGTTTTCCTAACTTCCTGAAAATGGGTGGAGAATCATGTCTTCTTCTAACTATATGACCCTTTTCCTGGAGCTGGTTACCCTGGTTTTCAGTAATCTTATCTCTTTTATAAACTCAGCAAGCTGACAGTTGTCTGATGCTTACTGGCCTAGATTTCATCATTTCAGTTTCAGTAATCAATTCTTACAGAGAGGAGGGAAAACATATATATAACACAATGTGCGATAGGTATAACAATCTACCTCTTTCTCCATCAACACAAACAAAATTCCAATGAAAAAAATGACATGCTTCTTTTTATGAAAATGATACCATTTTCTAAGATATAATAATATTTGGGGGTGGAAAGAATAGTATAGTAACCATTGAGAAGGAAGGGGCTTCAACAAGTGTGATATTTGTTCATTTTAAGGAAAATTTTTCTCTGTAGAACAAATATATACCAAAATAGTAAACCAGGAAAATACTCCACCTCCCCACCAAATAGTTTAACATTAGTAATAATTTCAGTATTCCTAAATAGAATGTGCAAAGGAGGGAGTGAATGTGCTCTTTATCATTCTGCGTCTAAAGAACTACAAAATAACTCTCTCATCTATGGTTTACTAGTGAACATACCTTCTTTGATACTTGTTGTTCAGTTGCTAACTCTGACTCTTTGTGATCCCATGAACGGCAGTATGCCAGGCTTCCCTGTCTTTCACTATCTCCCAGAGCAAGCTCAAACTCATGTCCATTGAGTCGGTGATGACATCCAATCATCTCAACCTCTGCCGCCTACTTCTTCTCTTGTCCTCAATCTTTCCAGCATCAGGGTGTCTTCCAATGAGTCAGCTCTTCACATCAGGTGGCCAAAATATTAGAGCTTCAGCATCAGTCTTTTCAATGAATATTCAAGGTTGAATTACTTTAGGGTTGACTGGTTTGATCTCCTTTCTCTAAGGGACTCTCAAGAGTCTTCTCCAGCACCACAATTCGAATGCATCAATTCTTCAGGGCTCAGCCTTCTTCATGGTCCAATTCTCATATTCATAAGTGACTACTAGAAAAACCATAGCTTTGACTGTAGAGCGATGTCTCTGCTTTTCAACACACTGTCTAGGTTTGTCATAGCTTTTCTTCCAAGGAGTAAGCATCTTTTATTTTTGTGGCTGCAGTCAGCATCTGCAGTGATTTTGGAGCCCAAGAAAAGAAAATCTGTCACTGTTTCCATTTTCCCCCCATCTATTTGTCATGAAGTGATGGAATCAGATGCGATGATCTTCGTTTTTTGAATGTTTAGTTTTAAGCCAGCTTTTTCACTTTCCTCTTTCAACTTCATCAAGAAGCTGTTTAGTTCATCTTTACTTTCTGCCATCAGAGTGGTATCATCTTCATATTTGAGGTTATTGATATTTCTCTGGGAATCATGATCCCAGCTTGTAAGTCTTTCGGCCCTGCTTTTTGGATGATGTACTCTGCATATAAGTTAAATAAGCAGGGTAACAATACATAGCCTTGTCCTACTGTATATTTCCTGATTTTGAACCAGTCCATGTTTCCATGTCTGGTTCTAACTATTCCTTCTTGTCCTGTATACAGGTTTCTCAGGAGACAGCTAAGGTAGTCTGGTATTCCTACCTCTTAAGGATTTTCCACAGTTCATTGTGATCTACACAGTCAAAAGCTTTAAGTAGTCAATAAAATAGTAGTAGATTTTTTTTTGGAATTCCTTTGCTTTTTCTATGATCCAACAGACATTGGCAATTTGATCTCTGGTTCCTCTGCCTTTTCTAAATCTAGCTTGTAAATCTGGATGTTGTTGGTTCATGTACTATTAAAGCCTAGCTTGAAGGATTTTGAGCATTATTTTGCTAGCATGTGAAATGAGCTCAATTGTATGCAAGTTTTATATAACTACTCACATAATAGGTTAAGCAATGTTTGGAGAGATCAGTAGTCTAGTCAAGGACGTGGCAGTGACATGTTAACTTTGAGGTCTCTCACTGATGATAAGCAAAATGGGCTCCACTAGAGTTAATTGTACAGATACTAAATAGAACAAAAAAATTTTAATTATTAAAAATTTCCAAATATGCAAAATAATTAGAGAATTAAAAAGTATTTGCCACTCTCAACTGAAAGAAAAATATGCAACAGAAAAGTTGTGAGTTAAGTTTTATTCAGGGACCTTACTGAGGACTATAGTAGGGAGACAGCCTCTCAGATAGATCTGAAGAACTGCTCCAAAGAGTTAAGGAAGGGGCCAAGATAAATATGAGCTTTTTTTGCTGGGAAAAACATGTAGTCAAGTACAAAAAGATCACTACTAATCGCAAAGAGTTGTATACAACTGAGTGACTGAACTGAACTGAACTGAATCACAAAGAACGAAAGATATCTTAAGGTAATCACTTTAATACTTTTCTTTGTAGGGAAGATTCAAGGATCTGAAGTCACTGAAATTTTTCCTTAGATAGGTATCTTACTATCTAGGGGATGGCATATCCAAAGCAAAGAATGCTCCCTGTTTTTCTCTATCACAAATTTTCCTCTGGGAACACATTTAGTGGGATATTAGCTTGATCCCTGTAGAAATGGAATGGAAGGTAACATTTTTTTTTTCCTTTACACCACTTTAAATTTGCAGATTACCAGTAGGTTTCTATTACTCTTATTTTACTTACTATGAAAAACAGCTGGCTATATATTAATGCATTATAAATTTGTAACATACGTTAAGAATGAAGCATTATACATAGAATGCTTTACTTTAGAAGCAGATGAATTACTCAACTGAGTAAATCAAATTATTTACTTAAATTATTGAAACAATAACGTGACTTTCAAAGATGAAAAATTTTTAAACATTAAGGTTTAATGTTTGAGAAGGGACAGTATGTGGGCTTTATCAAAATAATTAACTATGGAGAATGCTGTGGATCAAAGTTCCTAAGGGAAAAAGTAAGACTATCTTTAATTGCTAAGGAAATTCTTTTGAGTTATGTCTAGTATAGCAGAAAATAGGCCAATATTAGAAGTGGTGAACAAGAAAGACTTAGTAATTGGGGTTGCTCAGTAATTTGATTTACTAGTAGGACTGGTATGAAGAGAATAAACCATTGTTTCCCAAGGCCTTAGGGTATTTTCTGAGGCAAAACAACCTCTAACTATATTACAACATAATCACTACTAATAAAAGCTGTAAATATTCCTTTTAAAAACCACCATAATAAATTGCAGCCATGATATTATTAGCACTTCACATGACAAACAAATACGATTTAATTGGTGTGTGTGTGCACTCAGATGCACCCAACGCATTGCTACCCTATAGACTGTAGCCTGCCAAGCTCCTCTGTCCATGGGATTTTCAGGCAAGAATACTGGAGTGGGTTGCCATTTCCTCCTCCAGGGGATTTCCAACCCAGGGATCGAACCTGTATCTCCTGCATCTCCTGCATTGGCAGGCAGATTCTTTACCACTGAGCCACCTGGGAAGTCCAAGATTTAATTATGAGCTATTTTTAGGATCTAGATCACAGTTTCTCACACTAATGCTACTTCAGGTCAGATCATTCTTTGTTAGTGAGGGGTGGAAAAGGCTGACCTGTGCATTGTAGAATGTTGAGCAGCATCCCTAGCCTCTACGTACTAGATGCCAGTAGCAAATCCCAAATGTGGCAAGCAAAACAAAACGTCTCCAGATAATACCAGTGAGCGGTAGGGTGGGTGCCACAGGCCTGCAGAATTATCTCCAGTTGAGAATTACTGATCTAGAATAAGAGTCTTCAACTGAAGTAAAATTACATAATGGCTCTTGAAGCCTTAGCAGCAGCATCATGCATAATTTATAAAGAATTTGCCAGGAAGTGGGCATAAGGGTATCAGTGTGATAATCCGTCAGTCTGAGCGGGAAGTCCCCACTGGTATCACCTTCATTTCTCAACCAACCTCAGTCACCCAAATGTTCTTAAGGATTTGGAGAAACTAAAAGTGGCTTCTCTCTGCTAAAGGGTGGGAAATACTATCAATCAGTCAAGTCAATAAGTAGTGATCTATTTGGCAGCTGGTCTGACAATATCAAGATATAGCCTCATTTCAGGACACTGGTCTCTATATATGGGCTTCCTAGGTGGCCCAGTGGTAAAAACTCTGCCACAAATGCAGGCGACTCGGGAGACGCTGGGTCAATCTCTGGGTAGGGAAGACCCCCTGAAGGAGGAAATGGTAAACAACTCCAGTATTCTTGCCTGGAAAATCCCATGGACAGAGAAGCCTGGTGGTTGCAGTCCATCGAGTCATAAAGATTTGGTTTGGACATGACTGAGTGACATAGCACAACAGTCTCTACATGGAACACATTCTAAGTTTTAAACAGAGAACAGCAGAAACAAAGTAAAAGAAACAAGGTGATAGAGCAAGATGCACTCAGTGAGGATTACTGAAGGCCTGCGACACTGTGTGTGAGATACAGGGAATACAGTAGTATACAAAGCAGAAAAAAAAACAAACATGGATGAGCTAAAAAGTAGACCAGTCTGTAATGAATGAGAAAAACCAAAGAAGAGATGATTAAATGTGAGATTTAAGGGGTGATAGAGGAGCTAAAAGTTTAGCTGGGGCAGGGAGAGGGTCAGGAAAGGGCCAAACAACGAGACTATTTTGGAAAAAAGTATACTCTATGTTGTTTATTTTATATCTGGAAATACTCCTTTGTTATGCAAATATATATATAAATATAAATCTATATTCAAGATAGAAAGTAATCACATATGTTTAACTAGCAACACACAGACTTCAACAGAACTACAAGCAGCAAGTTGGTGCTTTCTCCCTAAAGAGCAGGGTTATTTTGGCACACAGCAGCTCAGAAAGAACACGGCTATAATTTATCTCAATGAACTAAAAACAATGAAGTGATGCAATACATCTTTCCAAAACATTCTTTATCAATAATTAAATTCTTGCTTTTCATCTGGGGAATTATATAAAATTGAATTGCATTTATTTCTTTTATTTTTTACTTTATTTGAGGTCACCTTACAACTAATGAGCAAGGTGGAATTTTGTATTGTGCAAATAAAATGGCTTTAATCATGATCAGAAAAATTTCTATTTTCACATTCAAAATGTTATAGAGGCATATGGTCAAAGATTGAGGTTATAAACTCATCAATGAGTTATTCACTTGAATTTCCAATTATCTGACCTTGTTTGACAGCCATCATACCATCTCATACATCTCATACCATCACCAATATAACTAGTAGTAAGAACAATAAGAAAAATAGCCTGTGATTGGGAAGACTCCATTCTAATCTCCCTTTAAAGATCTCTTTCAGAAAAATTTAAAACATAATAACAAGGAAAGAGACCAAAGAAAATACAAATAATCCAAACAGAAATTGATTCTTTCAAAGTATAGTGATTCTGAAAATGCCTAGTGTTGTTTCCTGATTGAATGTTCAGCATTTGATATAAATGAATACGTTTGAAATAAACTACAGGTTAAGCCAGTGTAGCATAGTTTTGTGTTATACTTCAAAAGACCTTGCTCTCAATCATCAAATCAAAATTATAATTTTGGGCTTTTTAAAGTTAATTACCATTTACTAGAAATTTACTTATAAAATGAAATGGTTACTGAGCAAAGCATTTAGAGATTTTCATCACTAAAAATTTTCCCCTTGTTGGACACTGAATGCCTGGATGAAGGGACTCAATTTTTGTGGATGACTTTACCAAGAAGCCTGAAAAGCCCCACTTCCTTCATATTGTAAAATTACATTCTAGCTAAGTATATTAAAGCACTGTTGTAGAATGATCTGTTTCACAGACCCTCTCACATTTATAAAGTCATGACAACTTTGACACTACTTCTAAGCACATATTAATTTGTTATATATTTATTATGCAAATAGTAAGTTAGACTCTGTAGTATGTCAAGCACAATACATGAAGAGGTCACATTTCCATTAAGGGGACATATAAACAATTTATGAAAAAAGCCATAATAGGGAAATATAGAAGGTATTTTCAGAGTAGAAACCCTGCCTGACTTTTCTCCTGAAAACACAAATGCACCCAATTCCTCAATTTATAGCTTAAAACTCTTTCTGAGTGATCATCATTCCTTTGTGTCACTTTCTTCAATGAACAAAGCATCTAACTTGATCAAAAAAACCCCAACAGCATACCTTGTGGCTTTGGACTTGCAGCTAAGTGTTTTGCTGGCGTTTTCCCATTTATTCCCTGAGCCTCTTCATCAGATGCATTCTGATCAATCAGTGCGGTTGTGCTGCTTTTCAAGCAGGGTGGAACTATAGTGATCTTTGGACAGATACTGCTGCCTGGGAGAGTTCAAGAAGAAAAGACAGGTAAATAATGATGTGGAGCATAACTACGTCTTGTGATTTAATTTCTTCTGACCCCATAAAATAAAAACAGTCACAGTTACAAGACTATGCACTAAGCACTGAAATACTTTTCCCATGTGTGCTGGCCTTGACAGTTTTCCTGAGAAAGATCTCTTTCCATGTGCTTGAGAAACCTTTATAACATATGCTGACAAGAGATTGCTGACTTCTACTACTACAACACACACACACACACTCTCACACTCACTCTTTCTCTCTCTCATCCCTTTCTTTGCAGGGACACAGACAGGACAGAATGTAGCTGCTATGATGCAGGCAAAGGAGAGGACCAAAGGGCCCAGCACGAATCTGCTAAGAGTTCCTTTCCAAGATCCGTTCAGTTGCCAGTCATCAGGTGGCTCAAAAGAACAAAGCAAGAAAGCACGAACATGACAGTTGACTTGAAGACTCTAGAAGAATGGCTTGAGCTCTTACAGCCATCTTGGACCCTGTGGAGGCCTGCTGGGAACAGGACTTCTAAAACGACAAATATGTCTGGAAGGCTGTGGTCCAAGGCCATTTTTCGCTGGCTATAAACGGGGTCTACGGAACCAAAGGGAACACACTGCTCTCCTGAAAATTGAAGGTATATATGCTCGAGATGAAACTGAATTCTATCCAGGCAAGAGATGTGCTATGTGTACAAAGCAAAGAACAACACAGCAACTCCTGGTGGAAAACCTAGCAAAATCAGAGTAATCTGGGGAAAGATAACTCGAGCTCATGGAAACAATGGCATGGCTCATGCCAAATTCCGAAGCAACCTTCCTAAGGCCATTGGACACAGAATCTGTGTGATGCTGTACCCTTTGAGGATTTAAACTTCTTGAAAATAAATAAAAGTGTGGATTTGTCCTGTTGTGCTTGTGTTTAAAAAAAAAAAAAAAGAATGGCTTGATTACAAATGAAGAAATACATACACACACACCATGTCCCTCGTCTTACTAACATACTCAGGATCCAAATCAATGTTATCAATACCTATGTTTTCAAAAAATGATGAGATTATGTAGGTAACACTCATATTTAGTTACAACTCAAAATCTTTAAAACACTGCAATGCTTTAAAATACTGAAATACATCATGAGACACAGAGAACAGATCAATTCTCAGTTCAATTTCTGATAAAGTTAAATACTGAATTTCAGAGACTTTTAAAGAAATCATATGCCAGTGTTTTTATACACATATTAAGTTTTCCCTCCTTCCAGCTGGCACAGTGGTATTAACAACAGACTGAACCTGTTTAGGAGAAAATAAAAATATGTATGCCATTTAAGAAACTATAATCTAAGAAAGTTTATTTTCATAGAATCCAAATATTTAAAATGAGATCTATTAAAGATAAAAGGCCTTAATTATTACTCAAAACAAGAAAAACTAATAAAACCTAACAACTTTCTACTGAGTAAAAAAATTCCCTTTTACTTCAACTGATCATTGGGTAATAAATACTGACTAAAAACTATAATACTGCTTTATTTTCTGGGTACACCTTAAAATATATCTAGGTAAAACAAGTTTTAGAAGATTTAATAGTTACAAGTATTGTTTGAGAAGTTATTAGAGAGCAAATGCTAAAACACATTAAATGAGTTTCACCCTTCTGCTAAAATGGACTGCCATCTAAATAAAGCATTGTTTAGCCAAACATAACAAAGGCCATGAATGCAAGGTTTAAGGAACATTATGTGACAGCATATTGGTAAAATTATAAACAAAGAACTAAAAGCTAAGTCTTCAAATATATGACCTTATCTACCTTCTTAGAAAAACCAATTTAGTAGTCAAAGTATATCTGGAAACACCCACAGTGTACCATCCAGCCACTTAGTCTTTTAGCGGCATTAGAATTTTTGTTCCACAAATATCCCAAGAATGGCTTAGTATCTGAAAGACTACCTGCTGGGGTCTAGTGAAGGATGGCCTTGGGGCAGAAACAGTGAAAATCCACAACCCAACTACAAATCAGAGGCAGAAACTGTAACCTAACAGTAAAATGAGACACTGTGAAAGCAAGAATACAACTTTAGAGATGACTTGTGGCAACAAAACAATAAAAGGGGGCCAGCTGGAAGGGGTAAATGAGAAAATAAATTAAACTGAATCTTGAAAAAATAGACCACAACTGCTACATATTAAAAGATGAAGCTACTTTAATAACTAACCTATTTAGAAACAAAACATGTCTTGAATAAATAATTTTTAACTGAAAACTAGGCACTTAATTTCTGGATAGCAAACTTGTATGATCTGATGGGTTTACAAGATCCCATTTATTCATCTCAGATAAATGCAGTAAGAGATCAACTACACATCTATTTTCTTTTAAATCCATTCAAGTCATGATTACAAATCTTTTGCCAGTGATAGTAAATCTATAGCCAGAAACTTCATTATAGATCATTATTTAAAGCCCATCTCAGACTTCAACCATTATCACAAGGTATGAAAATATAGTGAAAGATGCAGAAAACACATACTTAAAAGGTGGTTTTTTTTTTTTAAAACAAAGACAAATATGCAACAGAGACCATGCAAAGTTCAAAATCTTTACTATTATTTATTATCTGGTGCTTTACAGGAAAAGTTTGTTGACCATGGTCTAGGTCAAACACATCATGGTAAAGGAAGTGTGACTAAAATTAAGCAGCACCATTTCATTAAACACTTCATCTTCGAACATTTGGATATTAGCAGCACAGAGGAATATTTCTTTTTGCTTGTTTATGACTGACTCAGCCTACTCACATTTAGAGACAGTCCTTATTTGGGTACCAGTTGCATAACAGGGACTTGAAACCAAAATTGTAACCAGATGGTCTACCCATTCAAGAACTTTTATTATTAACAATAGAGGCTTTCAGATTCCAATTTACAAAGAACCAGGAGAGGTGATTAAACAGGTTATCTTGGGCACAGATACAACATTATGTTAGCATGGGGAGTGGGGTCCTAACCATTTTTGCATTCCTCTGTCTCATGCTTGCTGGGTCATATCTCCTGTAAGAAATGTCTAGACATATGTAACTGCAAGATATCATCAGATATCCTCAGTTAATCCAGCCTCATCTCTGACTGCATAAACCTCCCTGTTCTAACTGGAAAGGTTCCCACTGTGGCTTAATTTTCATTTATTGTCTTCTGCATGATACTTGTGAGTGGCAGATAATCTCTCTGACTGGTTAGGGTGACTTTGTCTCCTATTTGCAAAACTTTGTGCTGGGTTGTTATATTTTGCCAACTTACTGTTGAATGGATCTTCCACAAATTAAGGTTGGATTTACTTCAAAGCAAAGTCCACTCACTTCCTGATTCTTCAGGCATAATCTCTTGTCATTGGATCCATGACATCAGATCACTCTTTATGGCCTTATTACAGCCTTGTCTATACTGCCTCACACAACCAAAACATCTCTTCCAACTGGGCCAATTCTCTAGCCTAGAAGATCTTCATGGACTGACCACCTCTCAGGACAAGAGGACCTCTTAACTTACAAGCACAGAGTAATTTTCTAAGGAAGACAATCTTCCTAGGAGTATATTGCCCAGAAGGAAAGAGATACTTAAAAAAGAAAAACAAAAACAGAAATAAAAAACCCTTTATTCTGAAATAACCTTAGATTTATAGAAGAGTTGCACTCAGGCTCTTAGGTTAGCATCTTATATAACTATGAGATGTTAAACAACTAAGAATTTAATATTGGTACAGTACTAAACCACAGATTTCATTCAGATTTCACCATTTTTCCACTAACAGTTTTTTTCTGCCACAGCATCCAAACCAAGATATCATGTTGCATTTAGTTCTCCAAACTGTGAGAGTTACTCAGTCTTTGCTTGTTTTTCATTTCCTTGGCACTTTTGAAGAGTGCTGGTAGGTATTTTGTAGAGTGGCCCTCAAATTCTTTTCTCATGATTAGGCTGGGTTTACAGGTTTGGGGAAAGAACACTCTAGAGGTGATTTACCCATCTCACTATATGATTGCACGATATTAACATGATTAGCACATGTGGTGCTAAATCTGGTCACTGAGTAAGGTAGTTCAAGGTAGGAGATAAATGGGCTCCAGGTTGGACATTTACAATCAGTCAGCCTCTCTTTGCCTTTCCTGAGATAAGAGATAGGTGGGCTGCAGTTGAGGTATTACAACCAGCCCCTCATTTGCTCTAGGAAATGGAAGTAACAACAGAAACCAGGTAAATAGCTAGTCTTATCTCTTGTTAACACCTTAAGGCAACAATCATTGCAAGGACAAAGAGAGGCAAAGATTCTTCTGAGTAAAAGTTAAGATAGACACTATACATGTTCAGAAAGGCTCCTTGAAGTCAAAAGTCAAAGGATGATTCCAGGCCATAACGAGTCTTGCTCCTCCCAGAAGCCTTCACTTCAAGATCCATCTTGACTGCGTGTGCATCCCAGGGCAGGGTCCCAGGTAGGTCAGGTGTGGAAAAAGAAATTAGATAACTGGTTTGAAGGAAGACTAAGGTCAGTTAGTCTTAAGACAGATCCAGAAGAACTGCCTTTATATAAATGACTTAACACCACTCTTTATAATGTTTCTCCTCACTAGGGGGGAGGATGCCCACATCCTTTTTCTCCAGTAGGAAATCTCTGCCTTGCTTCTATCTCAACTAAAAAAAACTGTTTCTCTATGTGCTCTCCCACTTGTTGTTCTGCTCTGTCTTTAATAATAAACTTTGTACCTGGTATTTACAGTTTCTGCCTCTGTGACAAACGCATTTTTCACTGGGATCAGGAAAAATTATCTTGCAGCCCTTGATGATTTGGTAGCTAGGACTCCGAGTTTTCATCCAGGGTACCCAGGTTCAATTCCTGGGCAGGAAATTAAGATTTGACTTCATGCCACCAAATGCTGCTGCCTTGCTAAGATCAGTATCTGCCAAGTTTATCCACAGGAAAATGTTCTAA